AGTGTTTTTTATTCTAGAATATTCGTTGTGCTCTACTCCCTGTATAAATACCCCTGCTTTTGTTGGCTTGTGGTTCGTTGGCTAATATTGTGTTGTGGGTAAACCAAATTATTCTTCGGTGTCACTTCAACTACCCTGTATACGTCGTCGTCAACTCAACTCTCGGTCCCTACAAAACTGATGTTTAGGTAAAACTGAGAGCGAATAAGTCCCATGAAGTGGGCAAAAACAGGATACAGTGGATGCCTGGGAATGAAGTCAGCCTTTGCTCTTGTGAGACTTTGAAGATAAAAAAAAAAACACAAAGGCATAACTGTTGTGCGCAGTTACAGGCTGCAAGAGGCAACACTGTGGAAATATCGGCAATTCTTGTTTAATCCAACCGAACTTATTAGCCCTCAGCTTCACCTAAGCATAAATTTCAGTAAATGAATTTCTTTTATTTACAAATTCACATTTGTTTTAATTTACATTTCTTTGTAATGCCATGTTGGTTTGTTTTCCTCTTTACTGCTATCTGCAGTTCTTGCTTCGAACTCTTGACTAGTACCCTTCTTCCTCTCCTGTATCCTGTCCCAGTCCCTGGCTCCTGAGCTGCATCGGTGCACCCATCACCTTCAACCACTATCACCGTTTATCGGCCTCAGTCGCGCCCTCTGGACTGTGTCTAGGCAATTACCAACCAACACCCCCGCCCCCCACCCCTCCACCCCAACCACGTCCAATCCTCCTACCTATCACCGCTCCAGCTACGTACTCCAACCGCCAGACACTGGGCAGCGCTACCCAGCGTGTCTGGCAAAGTTCCAGCCAGCGATGCTGCGAAATAGTTTTGGCAGAGGTAATAGAGCGAAGCGCTGGAAGGTTAAAGCACCGTAGATCATCAGCTGAGTGGAGTTGCTGTAATTGCCGGCAGAGATGCTAGAGCAAAGCGCTGAAAGGCCCGAGCACCATAGATCGCCAGCTAAGCCTATCCGAGCGGTCCCAGTTTTTGTAGTTGCCTAATTTTCGAGCAGTGGGAGAGGCAAGCGAAGGGGGGAGGGGGATCTGGCCGGTTATACAGGTGGGTGGGAAACGCGGGGGGTGAAGCCTAAGAAAGTTCCGGAAGTATATGCGGGGGCGAGAGGGAGGGGGAGGTACGCTTTGTTGGAGTGAGAACACGTAATTTATTTGAGGGGCTGACGAGTAATACACCTGTGTTGCTTTGTGCTAATCTTCTTTGGCGCACTAATGCTCACCCGCGCCCTGGCCACAGGCCCCAGGTGGGCCAGTTTTGGTCCTTTCGCCGTAGTCTGGCGTGCGTTGTCCCAGGTTGAACCAGGGGGGTGCTCTGGTGCTCAGCAGGAACGGTAAGAGGGGGCGGGGGAGGGGGAGGGGGGAGTTGGTTAAAGGAGTGTGTAATATCTGGAGTCGAACCATTAGAAATGAAGCAGTGCGGTAATAGTTATTTTGTATTGTTTGTATTAAGTTTTACATGGAAATAACTACTGTGTGTTTTGAGTTGTTGTGTAACAAGCGCACAAACATGCCCCTGTCTGAATTTA